GGGTGAAAAGAACCAAATGATTATTGTAGGGATCTAGACGTGGGGGCAATGGACGGAGGGGATACCTACCCATTTGGAGAGAAGATGCTGTGGTTAAGGGAAACGCTGATGCTGCGAGCAGGGCCTAATATGCTGCACATCAGGGCTCCTGTGATTTAGCTGCAGACTTGCCCCAATGCCCCCCCGTTTTTTGAGACAGGGTCTTGCTATGCTGCCCAGGCTGGCCTCAAACTCCTGGGCTCAAGCAATCCTCCTGTCTCGGTCTCCCAAAGTGCTAGGATTACAGGTGTGAGCCATTGCACCTGGAATCCTGCCAATTTTTATGAGTCCTTCTGGCCACACCTTTCTCTGCTCAATAGCTTTCTATGGCTCCCTATGGCTTTGGGATAAAACTGAAGCTCCTCAGCCAAGCTCACTAAATCATTCATGAACTGGCTCCAGCCTCCTTTTTTTTTTTTTTTTTTTTTAACAGAGTCTCACTCTGTCACTCAGGCTGGAGTGCAGTGGCGCCATCTCAGCTCACTGCAACCTCCGCCTCCTGGGTTCAAGTGATTCTTCTGCCTCAGCCTCCCGAGTAGCTGGGATTACAGGCACCCGCCGCCACATCAGGCTAATTTTTGTTTTTTTAGTAGAGACGAGGTTTCACCATGTTGGCCAGGCTGGGCTCGAACTCCTGACCTCAGGTGATCCACCCACCTCGGCCTCTCAAAGTGCTGGGATTACACGTGTGAGCCACCGCGCCCTGCCACGTGTTCAAGTTTCTGAAGGCTTCATTGGCTTTCCCTCCTCAGCCCCTGGGCCATCACATGATGATGTTGATGATGATGATGCTTCGATTTAGAAAAAGGGCTCAGAGAGGTCTCATCACTTGTCAAAGGTGACAAATTAGCAATTGCTGGATCCAGTTTTCTCTACTCAAAAATTAATTAATTTTTAAATAGGTGGAAATAGGATGTGTCACACTAATATAAGCCTCAGCGGCAATTTTCTCATCTGCAAAATAGACATGCTACCACTGAACTCCAAAGTGTGTTCTGAGGGACAAATAAGGCTTATGGTTCCCCAGAATCCCCTAATTGCACCATTGCACTCCAGCCTCGTGGCAAGACTTTGTCTCAAAAAAAAAAAAAAAAGGGAGGGAGGATCCTGAATTCCAACCAAGACTTGACTTTTTTTTAAATGACAGGGAAGGGGTAGAACCCAGAGGCTGTGATTTTAAAATGGTGCGTAACTTCTCTGATGGGCAGCCAAATTTGAGGATTCCCAAGACACCAAGAGAACAAAAGTCTGGTACATAGTAAGCGCCTGATAATAGAAGGTAATACAACCCATATTGGGCAAACCAAGTTGTAAGGGTATAGGACATGTATTGCTGTGTGCCCTTAGATAAATTACTCAACCTCTCAGAGACTGTCTCTTCATTAGTAAAATGGGTTAAAAATAAGAATATCTGCCTCTTAGGGTTATGGCAAGGATTTTCTGAAATAACACACTTAAATGTTGCTAATCAAACCTCATCTGCACGTCCCATCAATTCCAAATCGGCCCCAAGTTGGTCCCTTCTTGCCATCTCTATCAACAGTCTCCCAGCTCAGGTGACCATTTCTTCTGGCCCAGAAGGATGCATTAGCTTTCTAAGGATTTCCCCTCATGCCCTCCATAATCCGATCTCCATGCAGAAGAATGATCCTCTAAAACATGGATCAGATTCTGTCACATTTCGCTCACCATCTCCCAATGGCTTCTCACCACCCCTGGAATAAAATCCAAACATTCCAGGCCCTGTATGTTCTGGTCCCTGCCTGTTTCTCCTTCTCCGGGGTATTTTAACTGACCACCCAAGCTAAACAGGACGCCCCTGCAATTCTCTATTCTAGCACCCTGTTTATTTCCTTTCTCATTCAAATTAAGGTGTGGGATGATTCTATTTATTCGTATCACTGTTTGTCTTCTTTTCCATCAGATGTAAGTTCTGTGATGGTGGCTACCCCGGCTGTCTCACTATCCATGGTGCTTATATCTAGCACATTGCTTGACACACAGTAGGTGCTGCATAAATATTGAATGAATGAAATTGTTCAGCACCATGCTCAGCACTTAAGCAGCAGCCAGAAGGAAAGTTAGCTCCCTCTCCCTTCCTCCTCCTGTCGGCTTTCCCTACCTCTGTCCCTCGAGCCTTCAGGCAAAGGACAAATACAGTACATTGGAGAGGAGAGGCAGCACTGCCCAATGTCATCACTGCTTTATTTGATTAGCTCTGACTCCGGCATCCGGGACACGTGTGCTGGAAGCCAAAGCAACTGTACCCTGACCTCTGGTCCATGCGATCCCATCCTTATAACCATTTCCATGACAACAGCAATGAAAAGCCAAGGCTGTGGATTCCCTTTGATAGGAGCCGGATGCAGAGACCGGGAAGAAGGACTTTCAAAAGAATGAGACTCTTTGATTCGGCTCAAAGCGCCTTCATTAAATACCACTTTTTCCCAAGAACGTGCATTTTAACCCTGCAGAGGGAGAATTCTCATCAATACTTGAAAAAAAGAAAGAAAGAAAGAAAGAAAGAGAGAGAGAGAGAAAAAGAAAGAAAGAAAGAAGAAAGAAAGAAAGAAAGAAAGAAAGAAAGAAAGAAAGAAAGAAAGAAAGAAAGAAAGAAAGAGAGAGAGAGAGAAAGAAAGAGAAAGAAAGAAAGAGGGAAAAAGTAACAAAATCTCCGTGGTTTCTTTTCGGATACACCCACCTGTTGCGGGAGGGGAGGCTTGGGTGCTGTGGCACTGGGGACATTTTGATGGAAGATGGCAGGCATGTGGCCTTCTGCCAAGGGAGTTGCTTGAACTCAAAATTCCTGGCCCACCAGACAGCTCTTCTGCCTACGTGGAGGCAAGCCAGGTGGCTCAAGGTTCCCCACCCACCTGGTCAGCCAAGCAGGCAGGAAGATGCAAGGTGAGTCAAAAGCATCTCCCCATTCTGCACTTAGAATCACAAGCTTTGTATTCAAATCCCGACTCTACCACTTACTTGCTGTGCTGCATTGGGCATACCACTTGCCACCTCTGAACAACATTTTCCCATCTGTAAAATGGGCACAATCCCACCTCCCCTTCCCTAGGGGCATCATGAGGATTAAGTGGAGTGGTGTGTTCAAGCACAGGAGATTCTGGCTTCCTGACATGGCCATGATGAGGACAGAAGAACCAACCATCCTGGCTTGCCCAGGACCTAGGACTTCCAGCGCTAAAACTAAGAAAGTCCAAGACCAAGACAGGATGCTGGGTCACCCTAGAAGAGAATGATTTGATGACGGAGATGGCTAAGAGTTGTAGAATTTTCCAGATGGAAGAGCCCTCCCAGTGTCTTCTGGTTTGACCATTTTACTTCTGCCGTATTCTTTCCAATAGCACGTAAACTTGGTCTATTCATGAGAAAACCATAAACCTAGATTAAAGGATACCCTATAGGATACCTGTCCAGTGCTCCTCAAAACTGCCAGGGTCATGAAAAGCAAGGTAAGCCTGAGAAACTGTCTGGTCTCAGGCATGACAACAAAATACGGCGTGGGGCCCTGGGCTGGATCCTGGGAGAGACTGCTGAAATCCAAAGCAAGTCTGAATTTAGGTTTTTGTTCTGTTTTGGCTTGGTTGAGGTCTTCTAGTTAAGTGCATAAGCTCTAACTGAAATGTTTTGTTTTACAGACAGAAACTGACAGCAGAGACTGGAAGCAGCAGAAGCTCTGGGATCTCTGTTTCCAACACTTGGCGCTATAGAGTCTCCTCTTTTGCTGCCCTCCTGGGGACCTGCTTGTCATCCTGGGCTTTGTCTCCAGAAGGAAAAAGAAGAGCACTGGGTTTGGAGTCGGGAAACATGGGTTTCAGGCCTGGTTCACCCTGACTGGAGGAAGAGACGGTAATCCTCCAAGAAGGGAGATGGTGGTGAAGGCATCCGGGCTCAGCAAGAATGACTCATCCAGGGGAGGTAACATCAATTGCATGGGCACGACACTCCCAGCAGCGCTCTGAGCCTCCCCAGGTGTCTTCAGCTCCCCATGAGGACTGGTAGAAAATCCTGAGTCCCTGCTATGTCATTCAGCTTTGGGACCTCTCTCCCCAAGGCTTGCACCACCCTGTGGGATCCATTCACATTTCTCAACACTGGCTGCCCTGGGCCACACTGTCTGCCTCCAGAACAGCCCCCACTCTCATCACATCTCCTGAGGTGCTCTGCTCTGGCCTCACCTCTCTACCACCCTCAGACCTGCCACTCCTCCCGTCCTCCTTTGAGGCAGCTAGGGATGGTAGAGCCTGAAGAGCTGGGTTCAAATCCTGGTTCTGCAGCTTTCAAGCTGTGTGGCACTGGGTGGGTCATCTCACCTCTCTGCCACCCGACCACCTCCACTTGTGAAATGAAGTTGATGATCCTCACCTCACTCAACTCTCCTGAGAACACCCTGCAGCACCATGTACAGAGACACAGAGGACCCAGGACCTAGTGAGGGCTCCAGCTGGTAGCAGCCAGTGGTCAACATCATGTCTTGATCAATACATTAGCACACCAATAGGCAGTCAAACTGCCAAAGTTTGTGTAACCGTTGCTGTTGTTAAGCATTGGTTTTGCACAACTGGCACTAATGGCACTATTGCTATTTGGCTTACACCTAGTCTTAGCAGTCACACCACACACACACACACACACACACACACACACACACACACACACACACACCAGGCACACTGCACTCAGCCATTGTGGCCAGTGCTGATCTGCCCAAGCCCTCCAGGCAGACAAATTCTGCCTCGTCCCTGAAGAAGGGAACAGGACTCCTTCTTAGACCCCTCCTCCTCACCTACACTCCACATGATCTCTGCAGTCCCGAAATGTCCCCCACCTCCCTGCAGGTCTGTGAAAGTCGGAGGTTGGCACTATGATTCTGCTCATACCTGGAAGGAGGAGCCATTCTCTCCAGGTCATTGCATCCTTTCCAGCCTGATTCTCGAGACACCCACCTGGCTGTGCACTTTCTCCAGCTCCTCCTTGCTGACTGATGTCTTGCCATCCTCCATGGTGCCCAGAAGGAGCTGCACGTCTGACAACAGTGCATGTGTCCTCTTGAGGTCTCTCCGAAGTCGCTTCTCCACGTCAAAGTCCCGATGGCCAATCTGAAAGCCAAAGGAAGACCCATGAGATTACGTGGTGAAGCAGTGGCCAGGGTCTAAGTTTTCCAGAACCAGGCTCCCTGGTTCAAATCTTGCCTCTACCACTCACACTGTGTGACCTTGGATGAGACCATTCTCCTCCATGAGCCTCAGTCTCCTCAACTGAGAAATGGGATTGGCACCAACCACACTGGGCTTCTGTGAAAATTAAATACAGGCCTAATCTAATGCTTGACACAGAATAAATGTACAGGAAATATGACTTGCTGTCTTTACCGCTGTCACAACCTGTATGGATCCAAAGCCACTCTGTCATCCCGTCTTTTGCACAGAAGTCATCAGTATGACCCTACCTCATCTTGTAAGAGCCTCATGTGCCAGGTGAATCCCTCTGCTGCTGGCCAGGTTCTGCTGATAGAAGTCAGGAGAGCCCAGGGGTGGGCAGTGACTGGACACAGCCTATAGACCTATAGACTTCTAGGGAGTTATTAATGTTATTGATCTGGTGTTGTTTGTGAGTTTATGAAAATTCACTGAGCTGTACACACGGGATACAGAGTTCTCTGCATGTGTGTTACACCTTGGTAAACTGTAGATGTGCCCCTTTTGATGATCTAAGTCATCTTTTCTGTTCTTTGGCCCTGTTTGCCAGTTTAAGGACAAGCAAATGAGATCATCTTCTGCAGAAGAAGCTTACCCAGAGGTGAGCACATTCCTTCCTCCAGAATGTTGAATTTGCAGGGGACAGTTGTCAAGGGAGTCCCTTGATAAAAGAAGACACTTTCTGGACTGGGCAATAGGAGTGTGACCTTAGACTCCTTGACAGCTTTCAACGGCCAAAAAGTACAGCTGAGCCAAAGCAGAAGAGGTGCGGAATTACACCAGGGCCCTACCTGAAATTCCGACAGCCGGTGACCTCTCTGGAAATAGCACTGACTTAAAAGACAACGTGTTAACATCCCTGAAAGAAACTAATGACTCTTTTCTTGGACTCTTCAGGAGACCATAGGATACAACATGGGCCTGTTCATCAGCTGGGGAGTTTAAAAAAAAAAAACAGGGTGTAGGTGCCTCAACACTGGGATTTGGTTTTCACAAACCTGGAAATCTGTGTCTGCACATCAAATGCTAACTATTTCCTGGGATGCTCAGAAAGTTCTGGAATATTCTAGAAAAAACACATGGGGTTGAGAATGAGAAAATTTAGGCTTTAAACCCTGGCTCACCATTTGCTGATGAGGGAACAGTAGCTGAGTCACACCACATCTCTGAACCTGAGTTTTTTCATCCACAAAAAGAGAGGTTTTTTTTAAAAAAAACCCCTGTCCTCCATGTTGAGATAAGGCAAGGATCAGATGCGATCATGGATTCCAAAGCACTTTGTATGCTGCTGAGTGCTTTGCAAATATAAAAGATTAGGAGTATTGTCTGGTGACCTAGAATGTGTTCCTCTAGATTTTATATTTCTATTTATCTACTGCTGGTTTTGAATTCTTTGAAAAACTAGTTAGTTCTCAGAATATAGCCTTCGTTTCTGAAATGTATTGTTTTGTTAAGTTTAAAATGCTGTTCTATTATAAACACACACACACACAACCTCACCTGCTGAACTGAGTTGAGGGCTAGGCATCCTGCCAGGCTCTTTGTCACATGTTACTGCATTTAGCGCCTGTGACAATCTCCTTAAAATAGACCTTATTATTATTGCCTTTATAAATGTAGTAATAGCGTACATTTATAGACACTTTCTAAGTGTCATATACTATTCTAAACACTTTATAGCTAGCAATGCACTTCGTCATCATGATGAATCAATGAGGCGTATAGTATTATGATTCCCATTTTACAGATAATGAAACTGAAGTTCGCAAAGATGAAGTAATTTGCCTGAGATCACACAGCTAGCAAGTGGCAGAGTTGGAACATGAATCCAGCTTTCCTGGCTGCAAAGTGGTAATTTTTGTAAAATATACCATTAGATAGGTGTGTTTTAGACTTTAATTCTGAAAAAAATATATATTATGGGGGCACAGAGGAGCATTATCCAGCTCAGGCTGGGATGGAATTGGGAAGTAGGAGGTAGCTACTCCTAGCTAGGGGGGGTGGACAAAGGGCATTTTAGGCAGAAGGTGCTTAATGAGCAAAGGCAGAGAGGCGAGAAACAATCTGGGCTGTGCACTTCTGAGTGGTTGCCGTGAGGGTATAAAACCCTGGAGTGGGAGCAGGTTGCAAAGTGAAAGAGGTTACCCAGGGCTCTTACGTGTGTACTGTCACAGGGAAATGGAGGAACAACAGCGTCATACTGCTACGAAGTGGCTGTGCAGAGATCTGAATCCAGGCAGCTCAGCAGTAGGATGTAAGTCTCTAACCATTGAACCACAGTGCTAGTGGAGCTGCTTCCTGAGCTCTGATTTACTGACCCTAGAACCCAGATTCTTACCATGACTACACTTAGGCAATGGGCTTTGCACATTTCTTTCTTTTCTTCTCTCTTTCTTTCTCTTTCTTTCCTTCTTTCTTTTCTTCTCTCTTTCTCTCTTTCTTTCTTTCTTTCTTTCTTTCTTTCTTTCTTTCTTTCTTTCTTTCATCTGACAGAGTCTTGCTCTGTCGCCCAGGCTAGAGTGCAGTGGCACGATCTGGGCTCACTGCAACCTCCACCACGCAGGTTCAAGCGTTTCTCCTGCCTCAGGCTCCTGAGTAGCTGGGAGAACAGGCACCCACCACCATGTCTGGCTGATTTTTGTATTTTTAGTAGAGACAGGGTTTCACCATCTTGGCCAGGCTGGTCTCAAACTCCTGACCTCATGATCCACCTGCCTCAGCCTGCCAAAGTGCTGGGATTACAGGTGTGAGCCACCATGCCCAGCGTACACATTTCTTATACTTGTGTCTGTTTTTGTTTTGCATATATCCTAAAGTGCCTTTAATTTTCCTGTGGGGCGAGTTAGCATCAGAGGCATTCCCTGATATTGACACTGACCATGCAGTAGAGATGGCTCAGACTGTGCGGCCTTCACTGCCTGAAAGCCCCTGAAAATGCTGGCACTAACTCCTTTCCAGAGGGAGCACTGCAAACAAAATTCACGAGAAACTCTCAGACCAGTCATCCTCCCATTAATAATAAATTGCTACAAGAGAGGAGAGCAAAAAATACCAGTCATTCGGTTAATGGGAAATAAATGTCATTCTGTGAGTTTCCATTTTGTAGCACAAAGATTCAAACTTTGATAAAGATGGTGAATACTTAACTAATACATCTAAATGATGTTCAGTGTTGTGAGAAACTATATTCCAACTTGAGTTGGTTCACCATTTATCATAAAGGCAAATTGTTTGGGGAGGTTGTTAAATGTCCATTACCAAAGGAATCTCCAAGCACTATTAAAATATGATCTAGGAGTCCTGTTAGGGATAATCAAACCACTTTACAGATGGGGAAATTGAGGCTTGGGGAGAGAATGTGTGTTGTTGAGGGTTTCGCAAATTAATGGCAGAACTGGGCTGCTTGAGAACACTATGCAAAAAAGATGATCCACAAAATTATGGTTCCAGCTAAGCGAACCTTTTCACTTTTCAGCAAAATCATGATAGGTTTTTTAAATGACATTCAGATAATACAGACCTCATTTAAAATCCGCCTCGGGTACTAACTTGCTATGCAATCCTGGGCAAGTTGCTTTACTTTTCCAAGCCTCACTTCTTTCATTTATATAAAGGAAATAATATCTATCCCACATTACTGTGAAAATTAATGTCAGTAAAAATTATGATTAAGCATATATCTTAAAATTTCTGAGTAACCACCGAAAGAACAGAAATAGAGTTTGTAGCTTCCAAAACAATAGTTCAAAAGGTGTCATAGAAAGTATTAGTCTATCCAAAAGCAGGAAAGGGATAGAGGGAAAGCAATGTAAAGGAACAAAAACTAACAAAACGCAAAGTAAGATGATACAAAATAGTTTCAAATATAGGAGTCATTATAACAAGCTAATGAAATAACACAAGGAAAAAAACAAGAAGTAGAAAGTATAACATTTTTTCTTTGAATTTGTTGAGATCTTTGTTGACCCAATTCATGGTCAAGACTCAAAACTATTCTTACTTTCAAATGATAAGATTGTCAAGGCAGAAAATCCAAGAAAGCCTACAGATGATATAAAAGATAATAAGCGTTTAGGAAGTTTGCTAGATACAAGATCAATGCGTGATAATCGATGGTATTCTCATATGCCAAAATAATTTGTTGAAATATAGATAGAATACAGAAAAATGTTCTATTCATAATAGCCATAGAAATGATGCTTCCTGAAAATAAATCTAAAAAAAAGTCCAAGACCTGTATAGATAAAAATAATAAAATATTATTGAAAGCCACACATAAATGGAGAGAACTTATGCAATCATATAATCGTTTAATATTTAAAAAGTCAGTTGTTCCCAACTAACTAGTAAATCAATGCATATTACATCAGGTTTTGTAATAGAATCTAAATAAGAAGATTAAAGGATCAAGAAAACAGGCAATTTTAAAGATAGGCAAGGTAAGCTGTCCTACAAGTTAGCAAAACCCAGCCTTGAAGACCATATGGTGGAGAGACAGACAAAAAACCCAACGAGCCACAATGAGGCATTCATAAACACACCCAGGCATACATGGTAATTGTAGAAGAAAATGTATGAAATGAAACGAAGTTCATCCATATTGAGGAAGACCGATTCCCACCTCACACTATGAACCGCAATAAAATCTAGATGGATTAAAGACCTGAAAATGTCAAAAGCAATACTTTAGAACTTTTAAGACACACGATGACATTTCTGTGAACTCAGTTAAAGAACAGTATCTTAAGATACAAAAGCACAAACCATGAAACATGCTTGATTAACATGACTACATTAAAAACACTTTTATTAAGCTAAGGATATAATAAATAAAGTGAAACGATTATCCATAGTGTAGGAGATATTTGCAAAATACATAACCGAAAATGGATTCACATCTTGTAAAGATCATGAACGATCAATAGAGAAAAAGGAGACAAAATTCTATGAACAGGCAATTCACATAAGAAAAAGCCACAATCAGCATGTGAAAAATGCACAGCATCCCTAGTAATGACGGCCATGCAGTACCATTTAGCACCTGATGCCTGCAAAAAATGTTTAAAAATGTCTGACAGTGCCCCATGTCGGTGGGGACGTGAAGAAGTAAAATCTCAGACACGGCTGGTGACGGTAGAAACTGCTGCCATCACTTTGGGGAACAATCTGAGCGATATTTAATAATTCCCAAATTGTACATTCCCAGGAGCCTGCAATTCCTCTTCTAGCTACATACCCTGGAGAGACACTTGCCCGTGTGCACAGCGAGACAGACGGGAGACTAAGCATTGCAGTTTCAGGTTTTAGGGTGGAAGTAACTAACTACCCATCGATAGAAGAATGGGATTTTTTAAAATGAATACTGCGCAGCAGTTAAATGAATTAATTAGAACTGCATGTACCATTACGGACTAATCTCAAAAACGCAATATAGAAGGGGCAAAGTAAAATGCAGAATCATGCACGCTGCATATGGCTAAAGCTGAAGCATACATTCAGGGGAATTATACACTTCAACTTCCAGGTGATGGTTTCACCTGGGGAGGGAGGAAAGAAAGAGGAAAGCAGAGCCAGGAGTGAGATTAAGAAGGGACATAAAGAGGCCACCAACCGTTCTTAAAATGTTTTGTTTCCTTAAAAACATCTGAATAAGAAACAGCAACATGTTAATTTATGTGAACCCTGAGTGCTGGGTGCATAAAAGACCAATTATATTATTTGTTCTGCTTTTCCATGGGTTTGGCAAAGGTCATAACAAAAACACTTAAAATCATCAAACGTACTAATTTATTAAAAGGCTCCAGCTTGGTGACTGACACAAAAGCTGGCTTTTTGTTCATCTCAACTTACCTTCTCTCTACATGTAAACTTTATTTTTCTAATATGTATAAAAACCTTCCTTTATGGATTATCTATTCTGTTTTCTCAAATTGTGCTGAATAGAATGCAACCTTCTCCCAGTGATTCCCCACTATCATTCTAGAATCCGGTACTGGGCTGTGCTCTCTAGCACTGAGGCTGAAGGAAAGCCACCTCCACGCTTCTGAATTCAATGGTGCCAATTGCTCGTCTGGAAAATTAGAGAACCCAGAGAAGAAGGAAGATTATATTGATTCCCTCAGTTTCCAGCCCTTATCTTGCTGCTGTGGTGTCCCTGCTGTGGAATTCACTCATTCAATCAATTTGTTTTAAAATACATAATAAGCACCTATTTTGTCCAAGGCATGGCTGTCCAAGAGGATCACCTGAAGTGGATCCACATCGTTTTGTGAATAAAGCTAACGAATTTGGGGAACGATATTGATACAAGACCATTACTGATTAATAGACATCAGGCCCACATTAAGCAAACACGTGAAAATACACTCCTTTGATACTTTAAAAGAAATCATAGAAGCCACAGACATTTCTCTCCAGTGTTGGGATTTCATGTGGAAGCCACACAGGAAGGGGTTAGAATATCTGGGAGATGCAAGAGCCATTCCTTGCAACTCCGAAATCGGAAGCTGGCTCTGAGCTCTGCTGGCTACATCCGTACAGCGACAGTTCTCAGGAGTGAGGGAGGTTGATTTTTTTCCCCAAAGGACACTGGGCAATGTCTATAGACATTTCTGGCCGTCATAACCGAGGTGTGTGCTACTGGGATGCAGTGGGTAAAGGTCAGGGTTGCTGTACGATACCCCGCAACGCACAGGACAGCCCTCTACCATAAGGAACAATCCAGCTCCAAATGTTCATAGTGGTGTGAGGACCCAGGTGTGCACTGATGGGCGCTTGTGAACCCTGGTGTACAGTGATAGCCACATGCCACAAGGCTCCAGTCAGAAGCTTAGAGCGGTTAACTAGCTCACTGAAAGCCATGTAGACAGAGGTGGGCCCTCTGGGGCTTTCAGCTACATTTGCCCGACTCCAAGGCTGACAGCTCCTAGCAAAAGTCATGTTCTCAGGGCAGTCATGAATGTAGTGGCCATTCACATACATCCCCCTAAAGGAAGAACTGTCCACATTCTGACCCTCAACAGCTGCTGAAGGCAAAGACAACCTCATCCATCGCTCCTGGCTGGGTCCACTCTGTTTATTCTCCATGGGTTCTTACAAAACCCTGCTGTTTGCAGGCACCTGATGCTCTCCTGTGAAGAGCCGGTAAATATGGTGGGAACAGAGCTGATGGTGGAGAGGGTATACCTCAAGCTATTTTTCCACCAGTCCATCCCTCGAGTAGGTCCCTGAGACAGGGAGCATGTCCCTCTGAATGTCTGCTATTTGTTTCTCCCTTACCTGGTCACAGAGGGTTCCAATCAAGCCTTCCAAATCTTGCTTCTCATGGAGGACCATCTGCTTCTCTTCATATTCTTGCTCCAGCTGCATTTCTAGCTGACGGAGCTGTGGATGCATACACAGGGTAAATGACCTCCATCTGGACAAATCCCGCAAGACAAGAACCCTCCGGAGGAGGAGGGATGTGAAGCTTGGGGCTTTGTTCCATGAGGCTGCCCTAGTGATTGGGAGGTGGTGCCTCTGTGGGAGAACCCAAGAACCTCAAAGCTTAGGAGCTGGACAACAGTAGGGAGGGCTGGTCAATGATGGGAAACCCCATGCCATTGACTATGTAACCCCTCCCCCAGCTCCCCAATAGAATAGATGTGCCCTTTCTGTAGCCATGGCCACTGCTTGAATATTTGCAAGTCTTTGAACTCTGATTTTTTTTTTTTTTTAGACAGTTTCACACTGTCACCTGGGCTGGAGTGCAATCTTGCAATCTCGGCTCACTAAAACCTCCAACTCCCAAGTTCAAGTGATTCTCCTGCCTCAGCCTCTGGAGTAACTGGGATTACAGGTGCCTGCCCCCAGGTCTGGCTAATTTTTTGTATTTTTAGTAGAGACAGGGTTTTACTATGTTGGCTAGTCTGCTCTTGAACTCCTGAGCTCATGATCTGCCCCTCTCGGCCTCCCAAAGTGCTGGGATTACAGCATGAGCCACCGCGCCTGGCACACTCTGATTTTTGAAGGCTCTTCACAATATTATAACCAACATATCAAGATGCATCCCCCTCCTTTATTAAATACACCATGATGCAGTTAAAAAAATGCGTTTGAGATTATTTGGTGTTATAAACTATATGTGTCCCTCCAGAATTCATATGGTGAAGTCCTAACCCTCAATGCCGTGGTATCTGGAGGTGGGGCCTTAGGGAGGTAATTATGTTTAGATGAGGCCATGAAGGTGAAGCTTTCATGGTGGGATGAGCGCCTTCCTAAGAAGAGACACCACAGAGCTGTCTTCCTCTCTGTCTCTCTCTGCCGTGTGAGTGTGCAAACAGCAGGTGGTAGTCTGCAGGACAGGAAGAGAGCCCTCACCAAACACTGAATCTGCCAGCACCTTGATCTCAGACATCCCAGCCTCCGGAACTGTGATAAATAAATGTTTGCTGTTTAAGCCACCTAGACAATGGTATTCTGCTACAGCAGCCTGAACTAAGACATCTGACTCTAAGCAACTCGTTTAACTTGCAACTGGCTCTGATTTCTCAGCAATTACCCAGCAAACACAGGCATTTTCCACTAGAGCAAACATCCCACTCTGGCTGTGCTTTGCAGACCACCCCCCATCAGCCTCTCTTATATGCTCATCCCCTCCATCCTCCATTTCCACCTCACGCCATCAGAGATCCTATTTCACGGGTGGGCAAACTAAGTCCCAGGGAGGATCCGAAGTGCATACTCTGAAATTAGTTGCTGTTTAGAGGAGCTAGTGTCCTGTCTCCTGACCCCAGCTCTTTCTGCCACCCCAGACAGCCCCAGCATTCTCACCCAGGTCACTAACTATTGATTTCCTGCCAATGTGAGAGAAAGACTGCACAGAGCAGTCACCAGAATGAGAAGTCAATATCAGTGTTTGTCATGAGGAGAAAAATACCTTTCTCTGACTTCACTGTCTCCTTTTATAAATCTATCCAGAGAAAAGCCTCAGGAGAGTCTAGGTCACATCTCCAACTCATTGGAGCCCTGGCTCAGGGCACACACCATACTTTGAGACATTCTTAGAATAAACCAGAAATGTGTGCGACCTTCACCTGAAGGAACATAGGCAGGGACTGGGAGCTTCCATCTCCTAACTCACGGAGGGGGAACAAAGTACAGATTGATGGTCACTTCTACAGAAAGCAAGCTCATTTCAAACATTTTGTTTAGGACTGAGAGAAATACAAGGCACTCTGTTTATATCTGTTTCTAGAATAAAGACTGGAAAAGCTAAAACTCGTCTTCAAAACTATACAAAATAATAAAAACTACATATCAAGCAAGGTAAAGATGAGTGTATTCCGTACACAGGTATGATTCTCAGGGGATGAGAAGGGAGGGAAGGTCGTTATAGAGGACACATGAGAACTTGTTCAACGAGGCTAAACCCGAAGCTTTCCAGCAATTCTACTCTGAAAATCTGACATTCATATCCATCAGTATGTCTCTGAGAATGTTTACCTCAGCCGGGCACAGTGGCTCACACCTGTAATCCCAGTCCTTTGGGAGGCAGAGGTGGACAGATCACCTGAGGTCAGGAGTTCGAGACCAGCCTGGCCAACATGGTGAAATTCCCTCCATCTCTACTAAAAATACAAAAATTAGCTGGGCATGGTGGCGCATGCCTATAATCCCAGCTACTCAGGAGGCTGAGGCAGGAGAATGGCTTGAACCCAAGGGGTGGAGGTTGCAGTGAGCTGAGATAGTGCCAATGCACTCCAGCCTGGGCAACAAGAGCAAAACTCCATCTCAGAAAAAAAAAAAAAAGAATGTTTATCTCAGCATTGGTTATAAGGGCAGAAAACTGGAAACAATCTGAATGTCCAATGATAGGGGATTTGTTGTCTAAATTAGAGGACATGCTTTGGGTGAAAAACTGTCAAGCTATTAAACATGTAAGTTAGATCCGTATTTACAGACACAAAAAGAGGCCATGACAAGCTGCAGCATGGAGCCAACAGGCTTCCGAACCGCACGGCCTCAGTTAGTGAAAATGAGTATCTCCGCAAATCCACATGTGTAGACAGTGAAAGAGATCTATAAAAGAACACTTAGTAATACTGATGGCTTCTAGGTGATAACATGTCAAGGGGTTATGGCTTTCTTACACACTGTTTGGAATGGTTACAAAGATCTTGGATAAAACATTAAGAAATGGTTTGACTGGTAAGGAAAATAGTAAGAAAGAATTGATTCTATTATTGAAATTTAGAAGTCCTTAGCCTCAGTCACATGGCATTATGAAGACTTACTAGAAATCTCTGAGCGCTGGGTGCAGTGGCTCACACCTATAGTCCCAGCACTTTGGGAGGCCAAGGCAGGTGGATCACGAGGTCAGGAGTTCAAGACCAGCCTGGGCTATATGGTGAAACCCTGTCCCTATTAAAAATACAAAAATTAGCTGGGCGTGGTGGCACGTGCCTGTAGTCCCAGCTACTCAGGAGGCTAAGACAGGAGAATTGCTTGAACCTGAGAAGCAGAGGTTGCAGTGAGCAGAGATTGTGCCACTGCACTCCAGCTCTAGGTGATAGAGTGACACTCTGTCTCAAAATAAATAAATAAATAAATAAATAAAATCTCTGAGTCATTATGCTGGAGCTTCCAGGAGCTTCCAGAAGCTTCCAAAGGCTTCTGGAAGTTCCAAGATCATATTTAAGATGGGCATTTCCGCTCCTACACCCTTGAAGGCACCTCGAAGCTAAGGTCTCAGGTGGTTGCAGAGAGCTTGTCCCCAGATCCCAGACCCTGCCCTCTTCACTCTAAAGAAGAGAGCATCCATACCAGACCTGCCAGGACCCAAGGGCATAGCTGTGTTCACTGCTCACATACCCGCTTCTGGCAGGACTGACGGACATCCTCCAGTTCCTCCTCCTGGTCCTCACGGTCCTTCTGGTGCATCTGCTTCATTCGCTCGATCTCCAGCTCGAAACGCTGGCGGAGCTGAAGGGACAGCAAGGATGGCATGTGAGGACAGCCCACTCTAACCCTCCAAGCCCTCCATGTCATCCTTGGCATTGCAATTGCATTTTTCATGTTTGGAATGCACAAATGAGAGTCAGGTTATTTCCCTAGGCATCCTGGAAGATCACAAATGGGGGGTAAATAGATTAAATATTGCCTCTACCCATTCTTGTGCTTGTAATAGACATCACTTATTAATCACACTCTCCCACTGAGTTCAGACAGCCTCAGAATCCTTCTCAACACACTAACATGAAACACATTCCTCATTCCTGGAGCAGGCATCAGCGATGGTTTTCTGGGTGGGTGGATGGATAGATAAATGGTAGGACAAAAGTTTATGAAGACATGAAAGCCTGGAAAAGAAGACGACTTGCCCAAAACGTTCTTACACATTTCACTTTACCTCTAGATCAGTCCCCTTTCTCTGCAGAAAACAACCGTCTTAGAATGTAGCATTCTACTATGAGAATTAAATGAGATCATATAAAGCACCTAGCACAGTACCTGATACATAGATATTACTTTCTCTTTCCCCATTATTTCGAAAAAAGAAAAGACTATCCCCTCCCTCCCAGGGAACCTGACATAATTAAGAGCTGTGATCCCATGAATGAGCTGGGTCTTTTAAACAAGAACCTCCAAAACACAAGCAACAGGCACAGAGCCGTGCATAACACTGTGTGAAGTCATATAAAAGGTTCTAGAGTTGAAGGCAAAAAAGTCATGAGATCTAGGTCGAGTTCAAGACTTCATTTTCCTGATCTGCATAATTGACAGACTGGCCCAAGCCCTGGCTTCCCAAGCTGTGTGGCACATTAGAATTACAAATGCATTTTTAAAACATTTGAACTGCAGGGCTTCACCCTAGAACTACTGGATTAGAATCCTCAGAGTACGGGGCCCAAGAATCTATGCTTTGAAGTTTTCATTTATCTATCTGTACTCTTTAATGCTACTGGCCCATGAAAAAGCATTTGGAACTCAATAGTGTAGACGGGTGATACAGTTTGGTCTGTGTCCCCACCTACATCTCATTTTGAATTGTAATTCCCATAATCCCTGCATGTCAAGGAAAGGACCTGATGGG